TGGGGATCAAACCCCAGGTTTTATGCACATTAGGCAAATACTCTACCAACTGGGCCACATCTCCAGCTTTTGTCCCCCATTTAAGGACAACTCGCTTTCTACTTGTTCATACCCAAAATCTGGAGCCACCTTTGACTGCTCTCATCCTCTCATATTCCGTACCTTCATCAACTCATCCACAAATCCCACTGGCTGAGCTCCAAAATCTATCCCAAAGCATTTTTCACCAAGCGTGGCAAGGCCCTCCTCATCCATCTTTTTACTTCTACCCTGGGCTCCCTTTGCCCTCCATATAACAGTCCCAGTGGACCTGCCAAAAGGCAGGATAGACTGTATCCACTCCTCAGCTCAAATGCTCCACACATTCCATGAAAACCAACATCCATCCGCACAAAGGCCTTCAAGGACTTCCCTGCCCTGCCCAATGTTTCCTCCCACACCTGACACCCTTCCAAGCTCATTCTTTCCACCCCAGCTCACTTACCCCTCTCCAGCCACTGTGATCCTGGCTGGTCCCCAAGCCTGCCAGAGGTTTCTCCTTCCAGGCATTTGATCTTGTTATCCCTTCGCCTGCACCACTCTACCTTAGTCACTCAACCCACACCTTCTCCTCTTCGGGATCTTCATACAGGAACCAGCACCTGGAACCCTGGCACCTGACAGGCTGAGGTAGAAGGGGGTGTCAGTTTGAGGCTAGCCTCAGCCACAATATGAGTTCTAGAAATCTTGAGCACTGAGCAAGTATGAAACCTGCCTCCCACACCCCAAAAAGGAATGCTAAGATTATAGGCATGAGTCACTGTTCTCTACTGAAACTCAATTATATTGTATTTAACATAAAAAGTATAAAATATTATCATCCATAGCATGTATTTATAGATAAAATTTATATGATCTTACTAGAATATAAAAACATTAGTGTAAGCCAAGCAGTGGTGGCACACCCCTTTAATCCCAGCACTCAGGAGGCAGAGGCAAGTGGATCTCTGTGAGTCTGAGGCCAGCCTGGTCTACAGAGTGAGTTCCAGGGTAGCAAGAACTACACAGAGAAACAATGGCTCAGGAAAACAAAACAACACAGTGCAACATTTCCGTTTTCACACTGAATCTTCAAAATCTGATATATTTGACATTCACAGGCTATCCCAGGGTTCAATAGTCCTATGTGGCCAGAAACCTCCAAATGACCAATCTCTAGAACAAAGGAGTGTGTAGATATTCACTGAAGGAAGAATATTTTCCTGGGAAAAGACAACTGTGACATAAGTTATGGTTTCAATGTATCCCCCAAAGTGTACATGATGGAAATTCTATTCCCAGTGCAACATGATTGGGAGGAGGGACCTTTAAGAATTGGGTCATTAGAGGTCTAGTGCTGACAAGACACAGGACAGGACAGGACAGGACAGGACAGGCTCTGTTACAAAGGTTCAGAGTCCTGTGCAAGTGCTCTCCTACCTTCTACCATGGAATGACCAGCATCAAGGCCTCCAAAAGCGGCCCCTCCATCTGGCGGCTCAGCATCACTCCCAAGAAAAGCTTCCACGGTTCACAAATTACCCTGCTGTGGTAGTCTGTTACAGCACCACAAAGCAGACTGAGACAGTATTATAGTGCAGGCAGGGTTTTCTCAAAGTCAGTTACACTGTACATTCACAATGTTTTTTTCTGACTCTATTCTATTTTTTGTCTACATGTCTTTTCTTCCTTTCTTGTAACTCCAGCTGTACCTGAACATTTGAACTTACGAGCAATCCTCTTGCTTCTGCCTCCCAAGAGCTTGGATTACAGGTATATACCACTTATACCCATTCTAATAGCATACCTTTTATATTCAAAAACTACTTTTAAATAAAACTTTATTGTTTCTATGAATAAAAACGAATAGGTCCAGGTATAAAAAAATTAAGATAAAAACCCTATGTGGTGACTCATCAGGGAACGGTGTTTGTCACCAAAACTGACAACTGGCGCTTGATTTCCAGGAACTCCAAGGTAGGAAGGGAGAACCAACTCCTTCATTTATTCTCTAGGTCTGGAATCTAAAGTCAGGACTTCAGTAAGCCTCAGTTTCTTCACCCATAGAATGAGAGCAATGCATCCTTCACAGATCATGGGTTGAATGAGATGGTGGGCCAGATACAATGGTACATGAATGCCTGTAACCCCAGCTCTTGGAAGGCAGAGACAAGAGAATCAACCAATCCTAAATTCCTTAGCAACATAGCCAGCTATGGGCTACAACCTACCTTGTATCAAAAAGTCAAAAGACACAGTGAGACCCTGTCACAAAAAAAGAAAGAAAAGAAGGCTGAGCATAGTTTTAATTTAATACAACTTTAATTCCAGCACTTGGTAGGCAGAGGCAGGTGGATCTTTGTGAGTTCTAGACCAGCCAGGGCTACATAATAAAATTTTGTCTCAAATAAGTAAATAGATAACCAAATATAAGAATAAATGAGAGTGAAGCAAGCTCGTTCCTAATTAAAAAAAAAGAATAAATGAGAATCTGGTATAAGTTTTTTGCAAATGGGAAAGTAGTCATTAAGTGAAAGTTAGACCTGGTGAAGCAGGCTTGTAATTCCAGCTACTCAGGAGACAGAGGACAGAGGAGCACAAGTTCAAGGCTTGCCTGAGCTAGAGGAGTTTGACGCCACCCAGGGAAACTTACTGGGAGTCTGTCTCAAAAGAAAAAGAAAAAACTTACAAAAAGAAGGGCTATGGCTCCAACTCAGTGGTGAGGTGAAAAGTTCAATGGCAACAACAACAACAACAAAATAAGAGAAAAACAAGCCAATCCAAGCCTTTGCCTCAGGCTCCTTGTTTTCCCAGGGACCAATAACACAGAACAAAGCTAGTTTCACTGATCAGGAAAGAGACAAGAAGCCGGGCGTTGGTGGCGCACGCCTTTAATCCCAGCACTTGGGAGGCAGAGGCAGGTGGATCTCTGTGAGTTCGAGGCCAGCCTGGTCTACCAAGCGAGTTCCAGGACAGCCTCCAAGACAATACAGAGAAACCCTGTCTCAAAAAACCAAAAAAAAAAAAAAAAAAAAAAAAAAAGAGAGAGAGAGAGAGAGACAAGAAACTTAGGTTCAAACCCCTTCTTCACCACCTACAGCAGTGTGACCTTTAAAAGCTCCCTTATTTCTCAAGCACTGACCATGCACTCACAACATACGAGGCATGAGGCTAGTAGCCAAGGAAGCCACATAAAATACGATCACTGCCCTTGAATGATTTAACAGTCTAGCAGGAAGATGAGTAAACAAGAAAAAAAAATAGAACAAGTCAAGTTGGGGCTAGAGAGATGGCTCAACAGTTAAAGAGTATTTACTGCTCTTCCATAGGACCAAAATTTAGTTCCCAGCATGACAGTCCAGAGTCCTGAGGCTGAAGAGATGGCTCAGTGGTTAAGAGCACTGGCTGTTCTTCCAGAAGACCTGGTTTCAATTCCCAGCAGCCACATGGCAACTCACAACTGTCTGTAACTTCAGCTCCAGAGGATTCAGCAGCCTCACACAGGCATGAATGCAGACAAAATAAAATTAAATAAAATCTTTTTAAAAAGAAAGTGCAGAGGCTTACAATCACCTGTATCTCCAGTTTCAAGGGACCCATGCTCCCTGCTGGCCTCTGTGGGCACCCACACCCTACATATGACACACATACACAGAGACAGGAACACACACATAAATAAAATATTTTTTAAAGTCAACTCTCTTAGCTGTTTGTTCTCTGTGAAGTGGGAATTGATTTCTCATGACTGCTACAAAAATTAACTTTTGAATGTTTTCCATATACCCCAAAGTCTTCCACTCCTAATGTATTAATGCAAAGTACTTTTTTTTTACCCCAGTGATCTGTGATCCTGGCTCCTGTCAACGTTCCATTTGAAGCCTAACTCCTTTGCATTCACAAAACTCATTTCACTTCTGCAAAGTTTAGTAATGTGAAGGGAAAAGGATGGCCTGTTTGTTTTAGGTCTCAACAGGGTAGCCCGGGCCGGCCTGGCCTGGAACTTGCAGCCATCTTCATGCCTGGAAGATGAACAACCTTAAGATGGGTATTTTAACCGCAAAAAAACATGATCTAGGTCACAATTCTAAGGAATACCACAGAAACTTTTCTGTCACCCCACCCAGCCACAGCTGGCCAAGATAAGAAGTTACATGGAAAAGGAAACTGCGTAATTCAAGCCTAGGACGGATCGGCTAAAGCAGTATCGGTAGACTTTCAACTGTCCAAGAGTTAAGCAGTCAATGCGTTGCTGAGGTAACGCTGGCCCAGGCCGCTGACAACAGTGTAGGTTGAAAGTCATGATCCCAGCAAAGCACCTACACGTCTTTAATTTTTTTTCTTTTGTTTTTTTTGTTCTCGAAGATGAGCCGATCCGGGAGCATCTCAAAGAAAGATGATCTAAAGGGCTAGGCTCCCAACAAGAGGAAACCCTACGCAAACAGGGCAAAGTGGGTGTGACCAGAGTCAGCCGATCAAGACTGAGGGATCCCTCCTGAAGTTTAAAAACTGAACCCGACCGAAATCAAAGTCTCAGGTCGCCATCATCTTCAAAGAGGATGGAAGGAAGAGACTCTCGGAATGGGGTCCAGGCCGCATCGTCCAGATTTTTTTTCTCCACGTCTCTACGAGCCAGACGCCCACTCCCAGGCAGTCCCTTCTAAGGAGCTTGCTGGTCTCCCCGGCCCAGGTCGGGTCCCCTCCACAGACGCGGCTCCTCCGCCCCGCAGGCGCCCAGGCAGGGGTCCCCGGCAGGAAGCGCCAGCAGCTGGCAACTCCCGCCGGGCCCCGCGCCCACCCCGCTCGGGCGCGAGCCGGGACACCCCTCCTCGGAGGCCGGAACCGCGCGCCAGGCCCCTCCCACAGGAAGCCGCCGCCCCCCGGCGCCCGCCCCGCGCCGCCCCCAGCCCCTCGCGCCGCCCGCCGCCCCCGGCCACCCCGCGCCACCCGCTCGCCACCGAGCCCCCAGCGCCCGCGCCACCTACCTGCAGCGGCCACACCAGCGGCGCCCAACTCCGCTCCACTTCCGCCTTCCAGCGCCCGCACTCGGGCCGGGTCACGTGAGCGCGCGCGGTCACCTGACCCGGAAGAGGCTGGCCTGGGCGCGCAGGTGCGGGCCACCTAGACCCAGCCTGCGGGCCTTTGACTTACCGAGGTCCCGAGCGCAGAGGACCTCTTGCTCCTGCGCTGTGCCCGAGCAGACATACAAAATAGGGGCTCTCCGGGCACCGGGGGCTTTATTTATTCCTTTGGAAGTAGGTAGGGTTTCCCTCCATGAAACAGGTGGAAGAAGCCCATCCGGTCAGTTAAGTCAGAGTCTTTCGGGAATTACTGGAGAAAAAAACAGTATGCTAGCCGGGTAATAGTGGCGCTCGCCTTTAATACCAGCATTGGGGAGGCAGAGGCCGGCGGATCTCCGTAAATTCGAGGCCAGTCTGGTCTACAGAGTGAGTTCTAAGTCAGCCAGAACTACACAGAGAAACTCTGTCTCGAAAAACAAACAAAAAACTTGCTAATCAAGAAACAGTATGCCCCCCCCCTTAAATTTGAATATCGGTTAAACCGTGTAACTATAACCACGTCTATAAATTTGGAAGGGATATATTGACACCACGAAGGTATACTGGCCAAACTTAAACATCTTGTGTATTTGCTAATATTGGCAGCTTGTGCCAACTGGGTATGCTAGGCCTTGTTCTCAGTTCTAGAAGTATAAATGCCCTGGCCTTTGTAGAACATCTGTTCTACAAAGAAGCAAAAGTGGAAGGGGGTGGGGGTCACACTTAAAAACTTCACCCAAGTCCGTAAGTGTCCCCATGGGGAACCAATTCCCATTTCCTCCCTGTGTGGAGTAAACTGAACCTTATGAATTAGCAAACGGCCTCTGCGTAACCCTGACTGATCTGGAACTCAACGCTGTCCTCAGCCTCCTGATTTCCTGGCATTGCTGGCATGCCTCACCACAGCCTAGCTAGCAGAAATGTTCTGGGTTTTACTGGACTGAGGATTGGACCGAGGGCCCCTGCTGGTACTAGTCAGGGATGGCTCCCACTGACTTCTGTTGCTGGTCCTGTTGTTACATTTCTAGTTTATTTGGAGCAGGGTCTTGCTTAAAGTGCTCTAACTGGTCTTGAACTTTTGATTCTCTTACATTAGTCTCTGAGTAGTCAGGATTACCAGTTTGTGCCATTAGGGGGTAGGGTGGGGGAAGGGGGGAGAAGACAGGTTGAGTCAGAGTTTCATGCAACCTAGGCTGGGACCCACCTCCCAGCTGATCAGATAACAGTTGTGTGCCACACCATCTGGCTTTCTATTGGGTTTGGGTTTGGTTAACGGAAATTTTTAATTTTCCATTAGTATTTTATATATGGATATTTTGCTTGCACATACATCTGTATGCCACCTGGGTGTCTAGTGCTTTTGTTGTGGGTTATCCACAGAGAAGAAGGTCTACAGAGCAAGTTCCAGGACAACCAAAGCTACACAGAAAAACTGTCTCAAAAATTAAAAAAAAAAGGTGTAGTTGGTCCTAAGGACCATTAATGGTACTGAACTGATACATAATTGGCCATATAGTTTAAGATGCAGGGCCCTGGCCGGGCGTTGGTGGCGCACGCCTTTAATCCCAGCACTCGGGAGGCAGAGGCAGGCGGATCTCTGTGAGTTCGAGGCCAGCCTGGTCTACAAGAGCTAGTTCCAAGACAGCCTCCAAAGCCACAGAGAAACCCTGTCTCGAAAAACCAAAAAAAAAAAAAAACCAAAACAAAACAAAAAAAAAGATGCAGGGCCCTGCCATTAGTCCAATCAGAATGAGAATTAAAGGTCCAACAAATGCTGATAGATCCAGGAGGTCTAAGAAAACAGACACTGGTATTAATTATTTGCTTTATGCCTTTGTCTCTTTTTTCTTTTGGAGGTTTTCCTCAACCATGACAAATTTTTTGCTACTCTTGATGAATTAGCATAAAAACAATAGGTTTCTCCCAAGCCCATACATACTTTCCTTTATCCCATGAGCAGTAAGTCTAAGCCTCTCCAATTTTGTAGGACCATTTATTTCTGCAGGGGAATGCAACTGTTGCTTTAATTTGGAAGTGGAAACTTTGAATACCTCTAGGTCCTGATGAACCTGTCTACTTAGTTTGGAAAGCATCAGAAGAGGCACATTTAATCACCATTAGTACACACCCGCAAAGTAGTCTCAGGGCCCAGTAGTCGCATTACTGTTGTACGGATGAGTTAACAGGCTGAAAAGCAGGCATCGGAATGGGGGGAAGTGTCTAGATGAACGGTTTTGGATAGTAGACAAGTTCCCATCCCTAATAAGTCCTTTCATGTGAGCTGCCCCCTGTCACAATGAGTTCTGACAGTCTAACCAGTAATCCTGACTGATTTCTGGCTGGAAATGATTAACTCTATCCCCAGGGTCCCTTCCTGTGGCATAGAGTCTGATTTTCCAGGTTTTCTGTTTTTCCAAAGGCCTGACTTAAGGAATTCTTCAGGAAGCCTTCACAACTCTTAATCTTTGCAGTGGAAACTCCCTTGCTCCTGACAACTTGGAGGCCCAGCCTCAAGGCATGCATAAAATTATAAACTCTGTATCTCAAAAGATAAACTCCCGGATATTTCTTTTCTCCAGTACAACCAGAAGCTTAAGTTGGGCATCAGTGAGTAAATAATGTGGAGGATGGGCTGCTATCACCTCCACTGTATCTGTCGTTCTCAGTTGCCAGGCCCAGGCCTTCAGGCAGTAGGGTTTGAACCGTTAGCCTGTATTCATACCAAACATAAGCCTCAGGAGCAGGTAGAGGGGCAGTGAGTGGAAGGGGCCGGAAACCCTTCATTGTCATGGATCCATAGCCCAGAGGCAGCCTATTCGGGACCATCATTTGTCGTCGCTTCCACTTCTTGACCTGGGTGTGGTGGATCCACAGTGTAAGGCTACTTAGCCTTCACAGTCGAGGAGTGGAGAGAATCACTGTTAAGGGCCTTTTCCAAGTTGGTTCCAGCACCCCTTTCGTTACCAGTCTGACCAGGTCAGCATCAAAGGACTCAAATAAGGGTAAACTGGTGGTGGCCTCGAAGGTGGGCTAGGTCTCTCAGCTAGTCCTATGAATAGCCTATATGGAGGAGTGAAGGGGTTGCAATGACTTGAGAAAGGATGGGTTAGAGAGTTCTGTCAGCTGCTCGTCTCTGAGCCAGAGAAGCACTGGGGGAGGTCTTCCAAACAATCTCATAGGTAGTAACTCCCCACCCCCACCTATGTAGCAGGCCCAAAGCAAAGCAAAGGAAGGAAATCTATTCACCCTTCCCTGGATTCTAATGAGAGCTTTGTTAGTTCTTTTTAATGTCCTGTTTATTCTTGCTACATGTCCAAAATTCTGAGGTCTCTAAGCACAATTAAGTTTCCAGTCTATGCCTAAAGCTTTAGTTATTAATTGAGAGATTTGTCTCTGAAAGCTGGGACATTGTCAGACCCCATTGCTAGGGGGAGGCCAATCAGGACCAGTCCCTGGAGGAGCTTTTGGCTACTATTTGAGCAATTTCAGTCTGGGTCGAATGCTTCTACCCACCCAGAAAAGATATCTGTAAAAACTAGCAAGTACTGGTATGCTCCCCTGCAGGCTGATCTCAGGGATGTCAGTTTCCCCAGAGTTCACTGGGGTGCTGGTCTCTCGTTTGAACCTCTTTTGTGGTAAGAGCTCTCTGTTTTGAGTTAATTGAGCGCTTATCTGGCACCTGGCTGAGACATCTTGTGCCAGGCTGTCCAGTCTAGTTGTCTGGGAAAGTTTTGTGAGCCCTAAATGAGTAGCCTGGTGAAGGTCAGTTGCCAGCGTCCCGCCAGAAGTGGGGATTCTTCCCACTGGTGTCCTCCATAACATGTGGATTTGAGCTGTCCATTTATTCTTTACTATGAAGTTGATAGGCTCCCCTGACCTGAAGGCCATTTGTTGGACAGCCATGTCAGTGGTTGGCAGGGAAGGACAGCAAACAATTTGTAGAGCCAGCCAAATGATCTCTAGGAGGGCCAAGATTTTCTAGCATCCTTTTTCCAGCAGGGAGAAGCCCTCGTTCTCTATAGATCATACTGTAGACATACCCAATGGTAAAGGCACAGTGCATATGGTGGTGAACTTTCCTTTTCCCACCTGAGATCCTGGGTCAGATTGATCAGTTCTGCTCTCTGGGCTGAGGAACCTGGAATGGGCCCAACTCATCTTAGTTAAAGTAACTGCTGCAGTTCCCACAAACTGGCTTCATTTTCATCTCACAGCAGTCATGGATGAGCACCTGCGGGTCATCATCAGACAAGAGGATAGCAGGACTGATGGCAGTGGGTTTCTCAAACCAGACTTGAGGGTGGACCAGGAGTAGGGCCTGGTACTGTACTGGGCCACACAGGCACTAGAAACCAGCATTCTGGTGTTCCTTGGAGGAGGGTCTCAACCCTGTGGGGTACTCCCAAGTTATAAGATCCTGACCCAGAGTTAACTCATTTGATTTTCATTAGACTAGCAGTAATGGCCACAGCTCTTAGACAGGTGGGCCATAATACAGGGTCCAGTTGTTAGGACAGGTCATGGCACAGGTTATTTCCATGGCCCCCAATTTGAGTTAAAACCCTATTATTATCTTTTGTTTCATGAACAAAACAGATAAAACAGTTTTGAGGCATTTGGAAGTACTAGGACTAGAGCTGAATTCACTCTGTAGACCAGGCTGGCCTCAGACTCACAGCCACCCACCTGCCCCTGCCTCCCAATTGGTGGAATTAAAGGCATGTGCTAACATCACTTCAGAGTTGTTTTTAAAGCCTCCATTGCGTCAAATGTTTAGTCTCAGTCCAGATTAGGAACTCAGTGTCCACCACTGTGCTGGTACATAGAAGCCTTGCTATTCCCATAAACTCTGGAATGCAGAGGCAGCAATACCTAGCTGCACCTAGGAACGCTCCAACCTGTCTCTTAGTCTATGGAGTTGGGAGCTGAAGGATGTCAAGCAGTCCTGCTCTGAGACAGACTCCTTTTGCCTCCCCTCAAGGTCTGCTCTCTGGGGAGC